GTTTACGAGGTGTTCTCCAGTTTTGGTGAAAATCGGCTAAACCTTTGTTTGCTATATGAAAGACATAATCGAAGCTGCTTTCCATTCTTACAAAGACTTCAGGCTAAGCCAAGAATAGCGGACCGCTTCTTTTTATACGCTACATCTACTTAACTAACATGAAGAGTAATTGGGTTTCGATGAATCTTCTAAGATAATATTGTTGATTTAAAAAGCCTAATATTAGGATAAAGTTGACAACCTTGTGTAACTTGCTCAACCCTGCGTTCTCTACGGTAATTTTAATCATTTTTAGCATCGGGCCATTGACTTAATAAATTCCCACGTTTCGCTTGCATCATCAGTGAATCTTGCCAGCCTTAGTACCAAGCTACAACTCGCCAATTAGGCAAGTAGAGTCCACTCCTTAACCAAATTTCAGTATCCCTCCTTCAGTTGTCCTTTTTCTTCAGATGTCTCCTCACTTTTTCCGTTGGTTTCCTCCATTCTCATTGGTTTGCTTGAAGGGTCGATATGATTTGGCCATTTTATTTTTTAAACTACGATTATATGGAGTATATGGATTTATTGGGACATTCGACAGAAAATTAGTCAAGGGATGAACGTATTGTGGCTAACAATGGCAAGGCTCACTGGAGATTCAGGCGAAACTACCCTTGTTTATTTAGTTTATGGACAATTACTTTCCATCAAGCGCTAACTTCGAGAAGCATTTTATTATGGTAACTACTAGCCACCTATCGTCCCCATTTTCCATACCTTTTTAGAGGCATTAATGCATCAGAATTTCACCACAAATACTATTCGTGGCATTTAGACACTTTAACCGATGCATTCCAATTACAACTACAGATGTTCTGGAGCATTACTATTTTTTTAAATGTGCCCAATTTATTTCTAGAGCTATTATTTAAATCGGAATGAATCTTGATACATATTAAATTCGTTTGAACTACGTTAATGGCCTATTGATATTTTGTGATAATACTCAAACCTGAATTATGTTTCTAGATATAGAGAAAAATTACTTTTTTATAGATATCTGACAATGCATTCTCTCCATTGTTTGTTTGATCATCATCGTTCCCCAAATACCCCGACTTATACTTCTGTTGTTGAAAATATGTGCTCGGCTACGCGGTACAATTTAGAAGACGATAAACGATCCACGGAGTATCTTGTGTAGAACAGAATGAGTTACAGGTTAGGACTCAGAGTGGAAAGGTGACGACTACGGCCTTGTGGGAATGCAGAGCTCGGACACCGATGATTACAAGGCGAACCAGAGGTGAGGAATAATCGTCCTCAGTCCAGAATGCTCCCGGCTTAAAATATTCTTGTGTATTTTATATGCCATGTTCTGATTGGCTCAGCAGGGAAACTATTCGGCGGCTAGGCTTGCTTGGTTGCCGTGGTACAGAGCGCAGATAGTGGCGCTTGTTGAGAGGACTGCTTACTTGATGACAAGACAAGTGACTGTAGCGAAACTACGGATGTACGACTGAGACAGAAGTAATGAATGATAAAACTATAAATTCAGCAAACGTCAGTGCCAAGACAACTGGGACAGCAAAATAAAAAAACAAAGCATAACATCGTAACATTGACGAAACAATGCTTAAGTCACTACGCATTTGTGCAGGAAAACTGGTTTTTGAAGAATCATTTTCATTTCGTTTGAAGGGGCGTGTAAAAGAGATAGGATTGAAACCAGCCACTTTTCTTGTTTTTGTGCTTGATGAATTAATGTAAATCATGGTTACCTGCTGTGGCGATGTCAATCGCATGACGGACGGAAGCTCAACATGTTTTCATTAGGGTCGCGGGACGTTGAGTTTAGGACTTATTTCCACAGACCTGCACTCAGCCCTAGGGCGATCCTTCTTCGGCTTCGGTGAGGCCAATTTACGAATCTCTTGCACTCTTCTCCTAAAAGGAAATGAAAGCTACTCAAACGCTAAATACTTATTAGTATATATGTGGTAATTATTAAAGTAGTCAAGCTTTTGCCTCATCTACCACCTCAATGATCCGATCCGTCTATTGTGAGCAAATTGACACTTATTCGCGCATCTCTCAAGTTGTGTCTTGATATAATTGGCATTATGTCTGTATTCATCATTCTGCATACAGTAATTTTCTACTCCTTAATCCTTTGTGGGCCAGCTCATAAAATGTTGAAACCCTTTACTTGGTTTGACTAGGCTCACTGTAATCGTCTTTTCTTAATTTCTCATTGTTCCTTGAGAGCCTCTTCCTTGCAATCTATTTTCTCTCTGTTAGACTACATCCTTAATCTAGTCTCCTCCTTGCTTATCTCCGAGTTTGTTTGAGCGATAGGCAATGTTTTCTCTAGTCTTGCTTTCTTCCGATATTCTATTTATAAAAATTTCTTCCAGTTATCGTATCGATAGGCTAATCTTAGGTTTCCTCGTATTTTCACCATATGCGGCCGGTCGTTCTGTTGCTTTCCAGTTGATTTTATGTCCAGTTCATGCACTCTGTTCCGCTATTTCGGTCTTCCAGTTTCTATTTTTTCAGTCTAGTGTTACTTGATTAGTAGGCTACTTTTTCTTTCAGTTTCACCACTATAACTCTGCTCACAGTTGCCTCTGATAGCAATATAGTTTGGTCACTTAGAATTGCATTGGCAGGCTGGCGTAAACTGCCTTCTGCGTGATCAACTGGATATTCCATCTTATTAGTATCGGTCATAGGTTTTGACTTAATTACAGGAGGACGGGCATAATCAATTTTTGTCTTGTTTCTTAATACTGATTTTATTTTTAAAAATCAATGTTGCCATCTGCTTTTTATGACCTTCGTATTTCTTTGTATAACTTTTTTGATCAGGTTTTCACTAAGGGATGGCCAAGTCAATTATTTCGCTAAGAACTCTCCGTTATTCTTAGATTTCTAAGGGTTAACGTTGTCACTATTAGTACCAGTCTTTAATTGGGATGAAAGTGTTATTTGGAATTTATTTCTGGATGCAATTTATTTCTTGTCGGTCTCATCCTGAAATTATATTGAAGAAAATGACCTAAACATCCACTACCGTTAGCCGATTATCCTCCTTTCGTCAAATTAGTCGCATTCTGGTATTTTTATGCCATGCGAAAAAAAACAAGATATATGATGCATTCATTTGTTTAAGGTGATAAATGACTGGTAGTAGAATTTTCCCACAATTATATTAGTAGAGCTGACGTTTCCATTGAATTTCATATAGCCTTGCCTTCCCAAAAGTTGTTCTCATCCAGGGTGGACTGCAATTTCGACCTCGCATAGGCCTTATCAACACCCCAGCGGGTGTCGAATCGTGACAGTGCAGCATGTGAACTACGCCACATTGCCACTGGTAGTCTCGAAACTCTAATTACATACGAAAAAAAACAATTTAATTAACCAGGTATATGAGTACTCTATTGCAGAGTCGATGATCCTAATTCCTTCTCTAATTTGTCCATGTATACATTTGCTGAAATAAGATGAGTTGCATACAAATGCCGTTGAATAGCAAGTAGGTTGACCATCAGTTTTCAAAACTCCCTCTTGATCAAATCTGTCCCCATGATATTTTTCTTCAAATTTCCCCAATGTGGCTATTAGGATTCTCTCTCCTTAGACGTTTGTGTAGATGAATTGTAAGCTAAAACTTCGTAACTATTTTCTTTTTACACTTAATTTTCTATCATTTTAGAAAGTTCATGATTTCTTCACAGTTTTGGATAATCTGGTGTTTACATTTTTAAGCTTGAAGCATATGAATTTTGCCAATTTACGCGTCGCTTCATGCTTTTTATTAGGCTTTTGGATTTAGTACTTTCCTTTCTTTGTCTATAATCGATAATCCATGGGCTGACTATCTTGCTTCATTTTATTTCCTTTTCATATGCATTTATTTTAGTATATCCTTTAGTATTAAATTGATTTTCGTTGCTAAGTCCTACTTTATTATTCTATAACTGCTACTATCTTATAGTATGCTTTCAATTTTTCCCGTATGCTGTTTTCTGCCATTTGCCACTGTCGCTTCCCCCTTATCCTCCTTAATGGCTATTTGATTGAGCATTTGTAAGGTTCTGTCTAATCTTGTTTATTAATGTGCCTAAATTTTGTGATTATTTCAATTTCCCGTTTAGTCACTTTCGATATATTTACAACTACCACAAGGATAGCCTTTAAAAACCTTTTTTTCATTTTAGAGGCAAAAATTTATGATTCCTATAGGATCATCGGGGCTCCTGAATCAAGAGGTCGCTGTTATATATATATATATATGTGTGTGTGTGTGTGT